TAGTAGAGACGGGGTTTCACCATGTTGACCAGGTTGGTCTCGATCTCATGACCTTGTGATCCACCCACCTCGGCCTCCCAAAGTGCTGGGATTACAGGCTTGAGCCACCGCGCCCGGCCATGTTTGTATTTTTAGTAGCAATGGGGTTTCGCCACATTGGCCAGACTAGTCTCAGACTCCTGATCTCAAGCGATCCGCCCACCTCGGCCTCCCAAAGTGCTTGGATTACAGGCATGAGCCACCATGCTCAGCCAGCAATCTAAGGTACTTTTAAAAACAACAGCCAGAGCTGACCAAGACACCCTCTAATGGCTTAGTCCCTACATTGAGAATGGCAAGTATGTTTCAACTTATGGGATAGTAAGCACACTGTTGAGAAAAATGTAGACATCAACTCAAGAGGACAAATTACTGATAGATTAGTACAGGCTGAGGTGCAGGTGTGACGGCATTCACCTATTTGCCATTTCTGGCCCTAAGATGAATTCCTGACCTTTTTTTTTTTTTTTTGTGTGTGTGTGTGTGTTATTGTTTTTTTTGACGGAGTCTTGCTCTCTTGCTCTCTCACCCAGGCTGGAATGCAGTGGTGCAATCTTAGCTCATTGTAACCTCCACCTCCTGGGTTCAAGTAATTCTCCTGACTCAGCCTCCCGAGTAGCTGGGATTACAGGCGTGCCACCATGCCTGGCTAATTTTTGTATTTTTATTATACACGAGGTCTCAGCATGTTGGTCACGCTGGTCTCAAACTCCTGACCTGGTGATCCACCTGCCTTGGCCTCCTATGAATTCCTATCAAGACTCAGCATGGGAACAGCTCCAGCAGGCTCCCTCATCACACCCCCACCTCTGGTTCTGCAGCCATACTGAACATCTGTGGTTCTTGAATGGCAACTCTTTGACTAAAACTCCCTCCTCTCCTCAGCCAGCAGGCCGAAATAGGTATCCCTCTCGTGACCCCAACCTCCTGTCTCTCCTGTGTTCCCACAGTATTCTATCCCTATGGTAGTACTGATCTTGTCCCATCCTAGCTATCTGTTTACTAGCCCATTCCACCAGGTAGGGAGCAGCTGGAGGGCAGAGATCTGTTCCTTCTTCCCCTAGACACCTCATCTGTGGTCCCATGGCACTTTGCATACTGCTCTGTAATGGTATTTTGCCTAAATCTGCCTTGTTGTTGCCTGTACAAATCCTATCTGTCTAGATTACAAACTCCTCGAAGGGCAGGAACCATGGATTGTTTAGCTGTCTTGTTTGTTTGAAACAGTCTCCCTAAGCTGGGCGCCGTGGCTCACGCCTGTAATCCTAGCACTTTGGGAGGCTGAGGTGGGTGGATCACCTGAGGTCAGGAGTTCAAGACCAGCCTGGCCATCATGGTGAAACCCCATCTTAAAAAAAAAAAAAAGAAAGAAAGAAAGAAAGAAAGTCTCCCTCTGTTGCCCAGGCTGCAGTGCCGTGGTGCAGTCTCAGCTCACTGCAATCTGCAACCTCCACCTCCTGGGTTCAAGCGATTCTCATGCCTCAGCCTCCTGGGATTACAGGTGTGTGCCATCACTCCTAATTTTTGTATTTTTAGTGGAGATGGGGTTTCGCCACAGCTTTCTAGTCTACCTACCACTCCATTCATTAAGGTTGCTCTACAAATACTTACTAAAAAAGCCCAGGCTACCCAATTGTTCCTTAAAACTGTCCTGAACCCCTACTAACCCCCATTTTGATTCCCAAGAATTCTCAGAAGGACCTAGGGGTATCTTTCATAATCCTTAAATCCCATCCTCTGACCATGAAATCCCCAATAACTTTCAGGCCACAGTGGCCAGTTGTTTTGTCATATGCCATTCCAGTTGTTGCCGTGAAGGTCTTTTAGACGTAATGAACCTTTAAATCAGTAGACTTTGAGTAAAGCATATTACCCTCTGTAATGTGGGTGGATTTCACCCAGTCAATTGAAAGCCTTAGGAGAAAAGGCTGAGGTCTCCTGAGAAAGGATTCTGCTCCCAGGCCGAAACACCCATTCTTCCCTGGGTCTCTGAGCCTGCCACCCTGCCTTGCGGCTCTCGCTACCGTGAGTCCTCTCTGTCTCTCTAAGTCTGTCCATCCATCCTATCGATTGTTTCCCTGGAGAACCCTGGTGAGTACCACTGTCCCTGGCCTGACCCCGCGGGGCTTGTCCCCACTTCCGTCACCCGTGTTGTGCATCCCTCTTATGTTCCTCAGTCTCTGGAACTCTATCCTCATTTCGGTTTGGTTGTGTTTAGCAAGCATGTTCTCAGGCCTGTAAAGGTCAGAAGACACATGGCCTGGGGGACGGAAATTTAAAGTACGTGAAACAATAACTCAAGTGATACAACACTCAAATGAAGTCTCCTGTGTCACAGGCCTTACTAAGATGAAACACTGTTGGCAACCTTCAAAGGCACAGAAGAGGCACCAGAATGGTTGCCGTTTGACTTTCACAGTGGCAGAGTTGAGCCTGCAATCACAGCCTAGTGAATTTTAGGTCCATGCCTGGCAAGATGACTGTTCATAGGATGGCCTGTAAGGGGCCTTCATTGGAACCAGGCGGAGATTCGCTACAAACCACTCTATTTCCTTCCAACGAACAGGTAGATAGATCAAAGAGATGCAGCAGCCACAGTGATACTTTAGCAAAGGACTTGGGCTTCTTCTGCCGTCTCCGTCCGTCTAAAAACTGTGGGGCAAGTGAAGTGGTTCACGACTGTAATCCCAGCACCTTGGGAGGCGGAGGAGGGGGTATCCCCTGAAGTCAACAGTTCAAAACCAGCCTAGGCAACAAAGGGAGACCCTGTCTCTATTTAAAATAATAAATAGGTCAGGCGCCGTAGCTCACACCTATAATCCCAGCACTTTGGGAGGCCAAGGTGGGCGTTATCACCTGGGGTCAGGAGTTTGAGACCAGCCTGGCCAATATGGTGAAACCTTGTCTCTACTAAAAATAGAAAAATTAGCTGAGTGTGTTGGCTAGTACCTGTAATCCCAGCTACTTGGGAGGCTGAGGCAAAATTGCTTGACTCCTGGATGTTGCAGTGAGCCGAGAGTGTGCCACTGCACTCTGGCATGCCGGGCGCGGTGGCTCAAGCCCGTAATCCCAGCACTTTGGGAGGCCGAGGCGGGTGGATCACGAGGTCGAGAGATCGAGACCATCCTGGTCAACATAGTGAAACCCCGTCTCTACTAAAAATACAAAAAACTAGCTGGGCGTGGTGGCACATGCCTGTAATCCCAGCTACTTAGGAGGCTGAGGCAGGAGAATTGCCTGAGCCCAGGAGGCGGGGTTGCGGTGAGCCGAGATCGCGCCATTGCACTCCAGCCTGGGTAACAAGAGCGAAACTCCGTCTCAAAAAAAAAAAAAAAAAAAAAAGTGTGGCAGGCTGGAGCAATGGGCATGGTCTACAGTGAAGTTTATTAGAGTAAAACTATAAGGTCCTGCACTCGAGTTCAGCTTCCCTTATAAAGGAATAAGGAAGAGGGTAGCTGTATTTTACCCAATCAGGAGATGAGATGCAGTCCTGGGACGCATCAAGCACAGTCTGGGATTCTTGTTCTAGTTGTGATGTCTGCTAACACCTGGATGGAACATTATGTGCATGTCCTTTCTGGCCCCAGGCTCTAGCTAGGTTCAAGAGAGTCGCCAGCCTGGGTGAGGAACATGGAACCAGTGCAGTGGGGGAAGGGCTGTGCTCTGTGGACAATGTCTTGGACCCGAGGTCTTTTCCACCCGTGAGCTACGTGATCTTGGGCAACTTATTTGACTTCTCTAATCCTCCGTTTCCTAATCCATGGAGAAGACAATAATGCCCGTCTCATATGGTTGCTCTGAGAATGAAAACAGTTCCATATATGTAAACTTTTGGCACATTGCTTACTTAGCACACAGTAAGTTTTCAGTAAGTATTCGCTAATATTAACTAAAGAAACTCCAAGCTTTGCCGGAAGATTCACAATGACTGCTGCCTTTTACTTTTTTTGAGATGAGGTCTTGCTCTGTTGCACAGGCTGGAGTGCGGTGGCACGATCTAAGCTCACTGCAACCTTTGCCTCCCTGGTTCAAGGGATTCTCCTGTCTCAGCCTCCTAAGTAGCTGCGTACAGGCGTGTGCCACCACGCCCAGCTAATTTTTTGTATTTTTAGTAGAGACGGGGTTTCACCACATTGGCCAGGCGGGTCTCAAACTCCTAACCTCGTTATCCACCCGCCTCGGCCTTCCAAAGTGCTGCGATTACAGGCATGAGCCACTGCGCCCGGCCTGCCTTTAAATATTTGAAGGGGCCTTATAAGGGAAGAGAGAACAATTGCTTTGAAAACCCTGTAGAAGTCTCAAGGAAGTTGCCCAGCTCTACAGCATAGTTTTCCGCGGAGCCACGGGGTCTTCAGATGGAGCGGTGGTCCCGCATCAGCAGGAGGCCACAAAGGCACTTGACAGGCACATCACAGGGAAGTCGAGTGCCTGATGGTGGACTAGGAGATTTTGCGGGTCTCATCTAAACTGAAGACTACGATTGTAGGACTTGAGATCCCCTCAGCTTAGAGAGAAGACATTCACACACCTACTACATGCTGAGAATACCAAAGTAACCACTGAAAACTCCCACCTCAGTCACCTAAGCAACCCAGAACTCACAACTGTACTTCAGCTCAAGAGGAGGGCTCATGCCTGAGACGTGACTGTGACTAACCAAGAGCATGACCCTCTTTAGCAAATAGAAAAAAAATGAGAGATCAAGTCAGACAAAGCAAGAAGACACGAAAAGGGTGCGTGGTGTCTTCTGTCTCTTACACGCCAGACCGGCCCTCTAGGAAAACGAAGCAACAGTCCCAAGCAGACCCAGGACATTCGGATCAGCGCTCCTCTTGCTGGGGTCTGCTACGGCTGGTGTGAGCACCAGACCCTGGCCCTACAACATCCACCTCGTTCCCAACTCCCCTGACAAAAGCTGGGTGGCCGCACTACCTATGTGGGACAGATGGCACCAGAGCAGCTCTGTGAATAAAACTTTTAATAATGTACAGCAGAAATTGGACAGGCTCATTCTTATATTAAAACAAAAGATTTCCTATATTACAATGTATTTACATTTGCATACTGAAGAGGTAAAGTGTCTAAGTGGCTATTTTACAGTCCTTTCTAATAAAATGTACAAAAACAAACAGAAGTACCGAGAATGCCGTTCGGGGGCCTTTATGGCGACGTAAGAACGGGCTTGGACTTGGTCTGTGAATCCAGAATCCAGAGGTGCAGGTAGCACTATGGATCAGGGTTAGCCTCAGGAGGCCAAAAACACGGCTTCGGTGTCTCCCAACTCTCACTTAGTGTTAAGAGTGGCAGAGGCGGGTGCAGGAGCTTCCCAAAGACCTGCTCCATCTTCCCCAGAGGTGGAAGAGCTGGACTGTGTGTGGGGTAAGGGCAGAAGGGCCACCTGGGGAGTGGGCTAGTGGCTTGGGAGTGGACGTGTGTTGGCAGATCCCAGAGGCTACTTGTGACTCTGGGCAGAGCAGTCTAAGTTCCATCATCACCTATAACCCGCCAAGGTTCTGCTGCAGGGCGGACAGGCAGGAGGTCAGCAGGGGTCAAGACAAGTCTCCCCAGTGACACAATGGTATTTAAACAAAATTAGTGGCCAGTAAATTGGCCCAAGGGTTTGGGGAAGATCTCCTTTAATGCAAGGAAAGAAGCAATCATCAGGCAAATAAATAGAAGGGCCAAGAGCACTGAGGAGCCTGAGGGCAGGGACAGGACTCTTCCCTCCTCCACAGGCTTTGGCAGAGAACTGCTGGGTTGGAGGCAGAGATACTCTAAGGCTGCATACACAGTACACCTCCCCTGGAGACAGGAAGGGGGCTCAGAACGAATGCAGTGATTTGGGGTCTCACCTGAGGTTCTAAACCCCAGGTCTCATCACCTGCCTCTGGTCTCTTTGCGGAGGGGGTTGTGGGGGTTCCTCTTTCTTCAGTGATCTTACATAAGAACAGTAATTCTAGGCTCAAAAGGGTTGTAGAACCAATTATGAAACCTTCTGGTCTCAAAACAGGCACCTACTTAACTTGAATCAGCTCTTTTTTTCAGTGCTCCAGGAGTAGGACCCAAGCACGTCTTGTTCACAGATGTATTCCCAGCACCTGGCACCCAGCAGGCACTTCACACACATTTGTCGAAGAAATGCCTGGAGAGGGTGCAACCAGCTGGACAGTGCGCAAAAGGACCCTAGAGCAAAAACCACTCATGGAATTGGGTGGGGTCGGGGACAATATTCCAGATAGACTGAGCCACGGGGCAAAGAGGAAATCTCACTGCTGAGAGGGAACAGGCTCAGGTGCAAGGACAAACATTTCCAGTGTGATTGAGCTATGTGCGTTTGATTGGAGAATTTTTTTTTTTTTTTTTTTTTTTTTTTTTTTAGGGATTTCTTTAAAAACAAATAGATTGAGAGGTAATCAGAGAGATGGTTTTCCTTTTACAAAAACTTAATATTTAACATTAAAAAAAGTTAAAATCCAAACCCTCCCAATAAAATTAAAAAAAAGAAATCAAACCACTCCAGTTAAAAGTTATGGCTTTAAAGTTATTATACACCTAAGATATGCTGACCAAATCACCCACAGCCGTGCTTCTAGGCTTCATTAAATACTATACTCAGGTTAAATAATGTGTTTGGCTCAGGCCATTCCCTTTAGAAGGGCTCCTGAAGTGGATGCAAACCTCTCACCTTCCCTCCACCCTGATCAGACAGTCCAGTAAAAGACCCATGCAGATGCCTCCCTCCCACCCCAGACGCCCTCCCCACTCCTTGCCCGCCCTTCCCTTTCCCCCCCAAACCCACCACCACCACCAAAAATATACACTGCTGTTTCCAGGATCTGGGAGATGAAAGACAGATGTGGCATTCCAATCTGAGTCCCGAGATCTGGCTTCACATTCCTCGGCCCTTCCTCGATGCTGCTGAGGATGATGCCCTTGGGCTGGCTCATTTCCCACGGCTGACACTGACAATGACACCCGACTTCTGCCACGATTCCTTCCCTGCCCAATCCCACCTGCCTCCCTCACATTTTGGCCCAACAGCCTCTTCTGTCACGGACAACTGGGCCAGCTTTGGTTCCACAGTCAGCGATGGAGGAGGAGAGCTGTGCTGACGCTGGGGTGGGCAGAGCAGCCTGCTGGACACAGAGTACCACTGTGGCATGAGAGGCTCTGGGGGAGGGAGAGACCTCCAGGGAAGGGCACCAGGGAAACTAGATGCTGCTCACTACTGAAAAGAGGCACCAGCACGCACGGACAGCATGACGACCACACCCCCGACCTGCACATGCACAGAAAAGCTCAAGCAGGTAAGTGCACACCTAGACACACACACACTCACACACACGTGTAAGGGCATGGCACAAACCAGGCACAACGGGGGACGCACCTCGGCACATGCACACACGGCTGGACAGACAAGCGGCAGATTCCGTCTCCACTGGCAGTCCCCTCAGGTGTCCATCCCAGGGAGGCGGGGAGCGCGCGGCTCAGAGCCGCCTGTGAGAGGGGTTGCTGCACTTCTGGCTCCTCTGGGCCACCTTGGGCTGCTGTGGGCTGGTCCCTGAAGGAAACCCTCAGCGCGGCTTAGCACTGGCAACACCTCGGCTCCTCCTGGCCCCTCCCAGGCCCCCTTCACCGCTCCTGGCCACATGCCAGATGCACCGGGTTTCGCGGGCCTTCCCACTACAACCAGTTCGAGTTGTGGCATTGAGTTCTCCACATAATTTGCTCTCAGAGTCTCCATGCCATTAGGAGGTAAATAGAAAAGGTGTCTGTCTCAAACCCAACATGGGAGTGAGCGAGTCTCCCGGGCTCTGTCCCTCTTGTGGGCCAGGGCTCCTGGCCACTGAGGGCTGGGCAGAAACGAGAGGTAGGCCTCCATCGTACGCTCGACGCGGCAGCTGTGCGTAGTTCTCGCTGCCAGGAGCTCCGTGCGGAGAGAGGGAGCAGTTAGATCTTCACGTCTTCCTGCACACTGAGCTGGGAGAGGGTCTTCTTGATGCGCAGGGCCGTCAGGCGGGCGGCGCCGTTCGCATACCAACACTCTCGCATCATCTTCCCCATCACCCGCAGCGCCTGCACAGAGAGACCCAGGGGCCATCAGCTCAGCCATGCCCTGGAGAAGCCTTGCTGGTCTCTAGGCTGTCACTCATTTCCCTGCCACCTCCCGCTCAGGACAGAGTCTGGCAGATCCACCTCCTCCACCCACTGGCTGACCTCAGGGAAATGCTCTGCAAGGCTCCCTGGCCCCTTGGTTCTTCCTTTTTTAAGGGACGGCTTGCACAAGTGAGAGCAAACGCTACAGCTAAAGGCCAGCTCCTTTGGTCTCACCTGCCCTCGGAAGCAAACCCTGCCCTGAGGGTTCCAAAGAGTGCAGTGAGAAATGCTGCTATATTATGCAACAGGAAAGCATCAGCTAAGATGCAATTTTGTTCTCAAACGCAGAAATGCCCTCTAGTGGTTAGACTCTTTAAAGGCAGCGCCAACCTCTCCCTACTTAACTAGGTAAGTTCTGGGGCTCTAATGGGCAGCAAGGTGACTAGAGTCAACAACACTGTACACCTGAAATGTGCAAAGGGAGTAGGTCTCAACCGCACTTGCTACACACACAGGCAACGAGATGAGGGGACAGATATGCTCACTGAGTGTGGTAATCATGCCACAATACAAACACGTATCAAATCAGCACCGTGTACACCTTTGTCACAATTTCATTTCTCGATCACACCTCAATCAGGTTAAGAAAAAATAAGTAAAAGGAAATGCAGAGCCACGAGTGAAAAGGAGGCCCACGAGCACTTAGCGAGGCAAATCCTGTTCCCGAAGACTCTTACGACCTAAAGTCCATGTTTATTAGGATGTATGTCACAAACATGTCCTCATATCAGTCATTTCCACCAAATGTTGTTCCCCCACACCTGGATTTCATCTGCCATCTCTCCCAAATTCACACTCTCCACCCCAATCCCAACCCTGTCATACACATCACCGCCTCCCTTCTGAGTTTCTGGAAAGACCACTTTCCTCACAGGCCTGTCCTCCTCCTTCTCTGCCTGGTCTCAGGGCTTCTCTTATGGACACCCCATCGCTCTTCCATGGAGCTCAGCTCCGGCTCCAGAGGCGCTTTCCTAGTTTGGTCTTTAACAGCTCTGGGTTGTTTTAGTTGCTTGTTGACCACCTCCCTCATCTGTGTCTTGGGGACAAAGCCTTTTCCTTTTTCTTTCATGAGACAGAGTCTTGCTCTGTTGCCCAGGCTGGAGTGCAGTGGCCCAATCATGGCTTACAGCAGCCTTGACCTCCTGAGCTCAAGCAATCCTCCCACCTCAGCCTCTCGAGTACTTCGGACTATAGGTGGTGCACCACCAAGCCTGGCTAATTTTTTATTTCTTGTAGAGATGGGGTCTCCCTACATTGCTCAGGTTTGTCTTGAACTCCTGAACTCGAGCCATCTTCCTGCCGCAGCCTCTCAAAGTGCTAGGATTACAGGCCTATGTCATCACATCTGGCCCAAAGGCTTTTCTTCTCCTAGGCTGTCAACTCCAAATGGCACCCTACAGTGTCCAGGACAAGAGACTGCAGCTCTAAAGGGCTTGGTATATGTATAATAGCACCTAAGAGTAAATAATAACTAACACTCTCAGGGGGCACCTTAGGGGGCTGACTGCATTGTCAAGAAACCCTTTTCTAAGGTGGAAAAATCAGGCTGATGGGAAAGCCGCAAGAGGCAGGCTTCCTACCTCATAACTCTGCCACCAATTGGGGATGTTGGGACGCAGCTTCTGATCACATACGACCTTTCGCATTTCCTCAATGGAAGGGTCAGAGGGCACTAAGTCGTAATATGGCAGCTGATATTCTTCATGGACTCCTGGGAGAAAAGAAAATATCTACCTGAGTTATCAACAGCAGGAAAAGATTACTCAGAAGACAGTGACAACACCCACGTTGTACTCTGTAATACCACTTCAACCTAAGGTTCCTTGGAAAAGTTAGTTAATTCTAAGTACGGAACAAGACATACACAAGAGGGGCTGGGCACAGTGGCTCACGCCTGTAATCCCAGCATTTTGGGAGGCCAAGGCAGGCTGATCACCCGAGGTCAGGAGTTTGAGACCAGCCTGGCCAACATGGTAAAACCTCATCTCTACTAAAAATACAGAAAGTAATCAGTCATGGTGGCGCACACCTGCAGTCCCAGCTACTAAGGAGGATGAGGCAGGAGAGTCGCTTGAATCCTGGAGGCAGAGGTTGCAGTGAGCTGAGATCGTGCCACTGCACTCCAGCCTGGACAACAGAGCAAGACTGTGTCTCAAACAAAACAAAACAAACAAACAAACAAAAAAGAAATACACAAGAGTAGCCAGGAACATCTTTTTTATAGCCAAAGCAAGAAATCTGTCAGAGACTACTGGGGTCACATCAAAAGGCACCAACCTGATGAGCTCCCAACTGGACAAAGATGGGAACATTTAAGTAACAAGACAAAGAACTTCAATGCAAACAAATACTTTAAAGTCTAAAAAAGGAAACCTCAGTCACCTCAGCAGGAGGCTACAGAACAACCTCATTATTTTGAAAAATGTTAAGTAAGTGGAAAGAATCAAGTATTTTTCTGCCTTTCCTATTCCAGCTATGCATCATGGGAACCAAACAGATATGCAGGGGAAGTAATCGTTCATTTAGATTTGGACAATATCGCCATGGGACGTAAATAACACAAAAATCGAGAACCAACACTATGCAACTTGTCACGGGACAGAATAACCCCTGTGAAGGATATGTGCCCCCAAACCCCCAGAAATGATTTTAGCTGCCAGATCTAACTACCAATTCATAGGAAATACCAAGAAGAGTAGACTATGGGAGCACTACCTAGGCAATCTGCAAAATCTAGCCTGGGAAGCTCTACAGGACAAATGACCTGGATTCTCTGAAAAAACACAGTGAGAAGAAAAAATGAGGGGGAACGTGTAGACAAGAAGAGATGTAAGAGGTGTATTCATCAACGGCAGGGGATAAAACTTACCGGAATCCTGATTTGAGAACAAATTGCTTTAAAAAATTAGGAGATTGGGACCAGTAATAAAATTTAAAAAGAAAAAAAGATTAGGACACCGGGGAAATCTCAACACTGACTAGATGTTTAATGATACTAAAAATTAATGTTTGCCAGGCACAGTGGCTCACACCTGTAATCCCTGTACTTTGGGAGGCCAAGGTGGAAGGATTGCTTGAACCCAGGAGTTCAAGATCAGCCTGGGCAACATGGCAAAACCCCGTCTCTACAAAAAAATACCAAAATTAGGGCATGGTGGTGCACTGTAGTCCCAAGCTACTTGGGAGGCTGGAGTGGGAGGTTCACCTGAGCCTAGCCAGGTGGAGGTTGCAGTGAGTTGTGATCATGTCACCGCACTACAGCCTGGGTGACAGGGTGAGACTCTGTCTCAAAAAAAAAAAAAAAAAAAGCATTAATGTTCTTACTAATTGTTGTATTTTTAGTAGAGATGGGGTTTCGCCATGTTGGCCAGGCTGGTCTTTAACTCCTGAGTTCAGGTGATCAGCCCACCTTGGCCTCCCAAAGTGCTGGGATTACAAGAGTGAGCCACAGCACCCGACCCCTAATGTTCATTTTTTAAAGTGTGGTTAACAGCCTTGCATTTCTAAAGTCCTCATCTTTTAGAGCCACAAACTTAAAGATTTTCCATAATAAAAAGTTAATTTTAAAAAGCCAATTTAGGCCTGGCACAGTGGCTCACTATAATCCCAGCACTTTGGGAGGCTGCGGTGGGCGATCACCTGATGTCAGGAGTTCCAGATCAGCTTGGCCAACATGGCAAAACCCCATCTCTACTAAAAATACAAATATTAGCTGGGTGTGGCTACTCAGGAGGCTGAGGCGGGAGACTAGCTTGAATCCGGGAGGCAGAGGTTGTAGTGAGCTAAGACTGTGCCAAAGAGAGACCCTGTCTTTAAAAAAAAAAAAAAAAAGCCATTTAAAAATTTTCTCAAGCCCTTTTCCAGAAAAGAAAAACAAACAAAAAACCCCTGCTGCGTTGAGCTAATGGGGGAAAAAAAAAATTTTTTTTTAAATAGAGATGGAGTCTCACCATGTTGCCCAGGCTGGTCTCTAACTACTGGCCTCACAGGATCCTCCTGCTTTGCCTCCCAAAATGCTGGAATTACAGGTATGAGCCACTATGCCCGGATGGAAAATATTGTTTTTTATTTATTTTTGGTTTTTGGCTTGAGACAAGGTCTTGATCTGTCACCAGGCTAGAGTACAGTGTGATCATGGCTCCCTGCAGCCTTGACCTCCTGGGCTCAAGCCATCCTCCCACCTTAGCCTCACAGGCAGCATGGGCCACCATACCAGCTAATTTTTTTTTTTTGAGATGGAGTCTCGCTATGTCATCCAGGCTGGAATGCAGTGGTGTGATCCTGGCTCACTGCAACCTTTGCCTCCTTGGTTTAAGCGATTCTCCTGTCTCAGCCTCCTTAGTACCTGGGGTTACAGGTGCCTGGTACCACATCTAGCTAATTTTTAGTAGAGATGGGGTTTCACCACGTTGCCCAGGCTGGTCTCGAACTCCTGACCTCAAGTGATCTGCCTGCCTCAGCCTCCCAAAGTGCTGGGATTATAGGCGTGAGCCACCACACCTGGCCTTTATGTCCAGCTAATTTTTTTTTTATTTTTGTAGAGACAAAGTTTCATCATGTTGCCCAGGCTGGTCTTGAATTTCTGGGCTCAGGAAATCAGCCCACCTTGGCCTCCCAAAGTGCTGGGATTACAGATGTGAGTCACGGTACTCGGCCTCAGAAATATTTTTAAACAGAGAATTTGACTTGGAAATTACCTAAGGGGTAGTTACAGGCTCAAGCCCTGGCCTCAGCCTGTTTGAGCCTGAACCCTCGTTTACTAAAATAGTTATATGACCTTGGACAAATTTCCTAACCTCTCTGTGACTCATTTTCTTCATCTGTAAAATGGCGATGATAATAGCACCTACTCGTTACTTACTTGTAACAGTAAAGATTAAATGAGTTTATACATAGCAAGTGGGGAATGTTAAGTATTATTATATATTTAACCTCAATTTCTAGATGTCATGAGAAAGAAGAAATAAACTTATTCACAGTTTAAGACCTGTGTGACCAGATTTTTCTTAGTCTGTTTTATCTGCATATACTGATCAAAATTTAAGAGGAACAATTCCATGAATAGTACTTGGGCACTATTTCCATAATTTGGATTTTACCAAACATATCATAAATGGAAGCCAGAAAAGAGTATTAATATACAAAACATTTCTGCTGGAAGACCTGCCAGTTTTTCTTCTAGATTAGATTTAAATTTTTAATTTTTTGTGGGTACAGATTTACATACTTATGGGGTGCAACATGAGATGTTTTGACACAGGCATGCAATGCGTAAGAATCACATCATGGAAAATGGGATATCAATTCCTTCAAGCATTTACACTTTGTGTTACAAATAATTCAATTATTTTAGTTATTTTTAAATGTACAATTAAATTATTATTGACTATAATAATTTAATTGTGGTGCTATCAAATACTAGGCCTTTAAAAAATATGGAACGCTTCAGGAATCTGCGTATCATCCTTGCACAGAGGCCATGCTAACCTTCTCTGTATCGTTCCAATTTTAGTACATGTGCTGCCGAAGCGAGCGCTACCAGGTCTTTTTAATTCAACCACTTTCACTGCCCTGGAATCTCTGACATCACAGATAAATGGCTGAAGGCAGCACTCTAGAGATTCTGGAACTTGATCATGTGGCAGAATATGTGGAAGTTATCATAAAATACTGATATACCAAGTTGACAATAAAAAGTGTTTCTGCCAAATCTGATACTATTTCTTACTGGATTCTGTCATGAATAAGAAGTTACAAATGCCAACGATTTTTAACTATGGGAGAAAAAACTCATTTTAAGAAAATTCTATGCACTTTCATAAATTTAGAAATTAGCACTATTACTTTAGCAGTGAAACAGCAGAGTTTCCTATGAATGTGGCTTGGGAGCCACTGCATTAGAATATACTGCTTCTGACATCCTGGGCACTCCCCACCTCACCCCGGGCACTCCCCACCGCCAGGGACTAATAAGACAATGTTTGTTTGTTTTTAAAAGCCAAATGAGCCTTCAGCATGGTTACTGTAACACACAATACTACTCAACAAGCTGATCTCCAAAGAATAAACACACCCTAAGCACAGCTGCCTCCAAGGTTCCACACCTTTGAAGGGAACCTTAAACCAGGATTCAGGCTCTGACAACAGGCATCCAACAGGCTGTAAAAAGAAAGGGGGGCAGTAAAACAACTTTGGGTGATCCAGCATCTTGGAATGGGAGGTAGGAGCAACAGAAGGCGAAAAAGAAAGGTACCTCCAGAATTGCATCTTCGAGCAATCTCCCAATATACGAGCCCAAGGGCATAAATATCAGCACATTTAAAGGAGTCAAAGTGTTTCATATTAATGGTTTCATCAAGTACTTCAGGGGCCATGTATCTGCAACAGCAAAACAAACAGGGTCACAAAATGAGGACTGCTCTCTTTAAATCAAAGGATCGATTCAGGGGCCCTCTGAATGTGGAGAAGTATCACCCTAATAAAGTCCCTTGGGGCAGAAGAAGTGCACGCATCTCTTCACTGCAAACTTCCATGTTTTCGATTTGATTCTAAACACTTCAGCATAGACTTGGCAATACCAGGCTACTCTGATGTGTATCTCTATTTTTTTTTTTTTTTTTTTTTTTTTGTTGTTGTTGTTGAGACGGAGTTTCGCTCTTGTTACCCAGGCTGGAGTGCAATGGCGCGATCTCGGCTCACCGCAACCTCTGCCTCCTGGGCTCAGGCAATTCTCCTGTCTCGGCCTCCTGAGTAGCTGGGATTACAGGCACGCGCCACCATGCCCAGCTAATTTTTTGTATTTTTAGTAAAGACGGAGTTTCACCATGTTGACCAGGATGGTCTCGATCTCTCGACCTCGTGATCCACCCGCCTCGGCCTCCCAAACTGCTGGGATTACAGGCTTGAGCCACCGCACGCGGCTTGTGTATCTCTATTTTTAACCATCAAGATTTGTTTATTTGGCCAGATGCAGTGGCTCACGCCTATAATCCCAGCATCATGGGAGGCCAAGGTGGGTGGATCACCTGAGGTCAGGAGTTCAAGACCAGCCTGGCCAACATGGTAAAACCCCGTCTCTACTAAAAACACAAAAAATTAGCCGGGTGTGGTGGCAGGCACCTGCAATCCCAGCTACTCAGGCTAAGGCAGGAGAATCACTTGAACCCGAGAGGCGGAGGCTGCGGTGAGCCGAGATCATGCCATTGCACTCCAGCCTGGCAATAAGAGTGAAACTCCCTGTTTATCTGAAGTATGTTTTGATATCTTGGCAGAAGTACTTGTCATGTGGATCACAGGGGCAGTTAACAGTACATAATATTTGGTTGTTACCAGGGTCCTTCACTTTATTGAATGTAGTCACAGTGATAGGTTGAGCCATAAGTTTCATTATGTCAAAACTAGTTCTAGGGATGGTCAGTGGCACCCTTAGTGACTCTGAGTAGTAATTATGAGTAATTACTACAAATCCAGCCACCCCAGCCCCCTACAATAAATCAGGGGATCATCTTTTTTTTTTTTTTTTTTTTTTTTTTTTTAAGACGGAGTTTCACTCTTGTTACCCAGGCTGGAGTGCAATGGCGCGATCTCGGCTCACCGCAACCTCCACCTCCTGGGTTCAGGCAATTCTCCTGCCTCAGCCTCCTGAGTAGCTGGGATGACAGGCACGCGCCACCATGCCCGCGCCACCATGCCCAGTTAATTTTTTGTATTTTTAGTAGAGACGGGGTTTCACCATGTTGACCAGGATGGTCTTGACCTCGTGATCCACCCGCCTTGGCCTCCCAAAGTGCTGAGATTACAGGCTTCGGCCACCGCGCCTGGCCTATCAGGGGATCATTTGAATGAAATTCATTTACATTTACCAAACAGATCTCCACCGCTTCCACTATTAAAAGGCAGTTCCATTTCCAACTCATGAAGTCAATTTGCCATCACAGCTCCTTACTTCTTACCTCACTTCTGCATGAAGTGGGAAGCAGACCCATCATCTTGAAGGGTGCCCCTAATCTCCACCCTAGGTTACCTCTGCTATAGTTTGGCAAATCTGCTTTCCAGTCTCTAAGCACAACATGATTCCTGCCTCCTTTATGGCTCTCTGCACAGGAGATGGCAATGTTTTCCCTCTTCCCAGAGCCATACCTGTTGCCTGCTATCCTTCTACATCTTGCTCCAGATTGTCCTTCTCTACCTCCCAACCTTAATACCACCAATACCTACGTGCATACAGTTTATGGAGCTGTGCTCTCAGCATCTGTATCTGTTAGATGCAGCAGTACAGCTTTCCAACGTGGGGAGTACATGTTCAACTGTCAGTGGGCTGAGAGCAAGGTCCTCGCCTCCTTTTTCAACATTTTCTCCCTGTGCATATGGGAGACGGCATACACGGGATCCTCAGCAGAAGCTGCTTAGCAAGGGCAGAGGCCCAGGCCCTCCTACCGTTTGGTTCCCACCCTCTGATTCGGGGCAATGTCGATGGTGTCAGTGACTGCATCGTGACGGACAGCCAGGCCCAGGTCTGCTATGGCACACATGCCATTTTTCTTCACCAGAATGTTCTTTGACTTTAAGTCTCGATGAGCAATTCCAGGCTTCCCTGGCAGAGAAAAAAACAGGGATCTTTAACAAGAGATAATATAAATGTTAAAAGCATAGACCCTGCAGCCAGACTGTATAGGTTTGAGTCCTGACTTTGCCTCCTGCTAATCCAGTGACACTGGAAAAGGCACTTTACCCCTCTGTACCTGTCTTCTCATCCAATCAGAATGACAGTACATATTTCATGGGACTGTTGTGAGGATTAAATGCATTCATGTAGCTAAAACCATAGAAGGACGGGCATATTTAGCTAATATTTGTACTAATATTTACTACCACTACTCGCCTTCCCTGAGCAAATATGCTCAGGCACACAACTGCTGAGGAATGAAAGAGAAGCTGCTGTGATGGCTAGCTCTCAGAAGGAAACAGGCCCAGTGATGAGAACTGGCACTGCACAGACCAGGAATAGGACCCAACTTTCATGGCTGGTTTTCTATTGTGGCCAGTAAAAGCTGTGGCCCTGGTCAACCAGGCATCAAGGATCACACCTGCCACTGTGACAAGAACCAGGATCTCCCAAAGAGTTGACATGATAGTCAACAAACAGTAGAGCTTCAGGTCTTCTTCCTCCAGGAAAACATTCCCAGATTAATAAAGCCCAGCATCTAAGCCACCAAGTGGCCTTTAAACCAGCTGTCCCCAACAATGAACATGGAAATCACTCAATTGATGTTCCCAGTACACTGGTTTATCGTTTTAGTTCCACTTTTCTCATGTCTGTTGTGGGCTTCTGAGATGATTACTTGATTACTCCCTTCATAACAAATGACTCTATCAAGCCATTGACAAGTAGCTGAATATTGATATTATAGGGTTCCTGAGGAAGTTCTAAAGCCAGAGGTGGAGAGAACAGCCTGTAGATACCTCACTCAAGTAAAGCTCTAACCTCCAGCCCCAGCTTTCTCAGTAAAAATTCCGGGAACTAAATCAGGACGGTGCAGACTTTTCAAGCCTACGCCACTTTGCTGCTCCTGTGCTAGTCCACTCACCTTGGGTGCCCACGATCTCCATGTGCAGATGGGCCAGCCCACTGGCAGCAGACAAGGCCAGCTTAATCATCCCCTCGATTGTCACTGTGTACCGGTTCAGATAATCAAACAGGGACCCGTGCTCATGATAGTCAGAGACAAGCCACAGTTGCGTCCAGGTGCCATTATCTGCAGAGAACCACAGATGAGTTCCAGAAAAAGCATTAACTATCAGCAAAACAGTGAAGGTTGGAAAGGATAAATGTGCGACACAAAATCCAGTTAGATTGCTGAATTCACATTTCCCACCTCCATGCCTCCTGAAGCCCCCTTTAGCATCCTTTCATTTATAGTGGTCTAGTAGTTTGGGGCCTCAGGAAGGACAGGGAAACACCACCTCTTCGTTAGGATTGCTCCTTGTTTCTTTTAGGTGAGCTGGAGGATTCTGAACATTATGCCAAATTTGAAATGTGAGGTACCCAGGAAAGAGGAGGCATATACGGGGAAAGTAACAGTTATCACCAGCTTTGTCTGCAGCACCGCTTTGATCCTGACCAAGAGACTTGCTCACCTGCATGAGAAAACCACAAGGAGCTGGATCCACCACCGCCAAGTAGGAAAGCCTTGGAGGACATCCTGCGTCCCAGCGACCCCCTGAGTACAGCCCAAACACAGCACTTGTCTCATCTGTAATGTTTCTTTTCAGTCTGTTGCTATTACTAGGCTATGATACCTCTGTGAGTAGGCAAGATCTCCTATATGCATTATTGTATTCCAGGCCAAAAAATGCTTTTCAGTGCATGAACAGCCTACTTCCAAGTATTCCCAGAGAGGCATCTCATCCTTCAGAGGAGCAATGGAAGGTGGAAGGCATACACTTTCTCTTTTACATTGGGAACAGCAGGAAGGAGGAGAAGAGGAGAAGGGAGAAAAACACCAAAAGCCAAAAGCCAGGAATAAAATTAAGCTGCGCCATTGTCAATAGGAAGACTGGAAATTGAGTTGAAATCGCCAAAATTCCAGGCTGGCACTGATTCCAGGGCACCATACTATATATACACCATGTTAAAAAGGCAAGAACGAGGGAGTCCGATTTTTCCCCTTCCCTGGCCTTAATGTGGGTTTTGAGAGCCAGATCCCTACTTATACAAGCTGCCAGAATCAATAAGGGAATGGATCCTGGGAACACACACATCTTGGCTTCTCTCATCACAAACAAGGGGCCCACCCAGCACACTGATTCTCACACTCTAACCAGCCCTGAAGTCCTGAGGACCTGGCCAATACCTTGAAAAGAGGATACGATTTGATCCTTTAAAAATATATGTTAAGATTTAAATTTTATCAAAAGGTGATAGTGTTTTAAAAAGGAACAGCTTACTCAGCAGGAGTAAAAACCCTGTCTTCCCGTTCCTCCCTTGTATTGGAGTCTAAGGCTCCTCAGCTTGGGGGCAGTGGAGGCCACAACCTCCCACAGCAACGTGAATGAGGAGTCTGCAGTTGTTTCAGGAAAGAAAAACCAGTAGCATATTCTGTAGGCTTTGTAGATACTAACTTCAAAAACTGCACTGTGCCACAGGAGCAAGCTATGTCACAACTGCTAGAGAGACCCCTCCACAATGTGAGCCAGTCACTCATGGCATCCTCTCTGTACTCTGGGTGCCACTATTTGCCCACGTGTCTGTCCCCTTCTTCCTGGGAGCTCTGTGAGGTCATGATCCAAGTAGCCAACAGAGGTTCTGGCCCACAGCAGTCAATGAATGTTATTGAATCAACAAATGCAATTTTAATTACTACTCACAATCTTCAGAAAGGAATACAATCCTCTCAAAAAGGCCCATCGTAATCTGGCCTCTGCCAGCCTCTCCACCCACAGCCATCCAAGTTACTTTCAGGGCCCGAAACACCTCACCTTCGCACACGTCTGCAGTGCCCTTCCCTGCAAGAAGCTTTTTCTTCCTCATCAACTCTTGCCATCTTTGTCTCAAGCAGGCTCAGGTGTGACTCAGCCCCAATCTGTGCTCACCAGAACAACTCGTGTTTATCTCCTCCAATCCCCCTTACTCGTTGTCCTTTGCTAGTCAATGAGGTCCTCAAACATAGGAAGGTGCCTGGCACACAAGAGACTCAAAAACTAAAGCAATAAAAGGAGGAAGAAGGAAAGAAGAATCCTCAGGGACAGGACTGACCAAGAGTGGAGTCTGAAGGCCACTAGGTGATACTTGGTGGACTGCAGGCTTTGCTGTCGTTATCCTTTCCTGCCAGGGTTGAGGCGACAATTCATCATCCTAGTGATTTTTGAGACAGAGTCTCACTTTGTTGCCCAGGCTGGACTACAGTGGCATGATCTCGGCTCACTGCAGCCTCCGCTTCCCGGGTTCAAGCTATTCTCCTGCCTCAGCCTGCCTAGTAACTGGGATTACAGGCATGTGTCACCATGCCCGGCTCATTTTTGTATTTTTAATAGAGACAGATTTTGCCATGTTGGCTGGGCTGGTCACAAATTCCTGACCTCGGATGATCTGCTTGCCTCAGCCTCCCAAAGTGCTGGGATTATAGGCTTGAGCCACCTTGCCCAGCCCATCCTAGTGATTTCCAAAATAAGCTTTTTTTTTTTTTTTTTTGAGACGGAGTTTCGCTCTTGTTACCCAGGCTGGAGTGCAATGGCGCGATCTCGGCTCACCGCAACCTCCGCCTCCTGGGTTCAGGCAATTCTCCTGCCTCAGCCTCCTGAGTAGCTGGGATTATAGGCACGCACCACCATGCCCAGCTAATTTTTTGTATTTTTAGTAGAGACGGGGTTTCACCATGTTGACCAGGTTGGTCTTGATCTCTCGACCTCGTGATCCACCCGCCTCGGCCTCCCAAAGTGCTGGGATTACAGGATTGAGCCACCGCGCCCGGCCCAAAATAAGCTTATTGGAGCCCCTGCAGGGACTACATTGGAGGTGGGTTTGGGAGAATGTTGAGAAAGAGAACTTGAGCAGGTAAGGTGAGGGGATGTATTTTAGTTTATCTGTGTAAGAACGGCTTGTTTATTTGCTAGATAATCTGGATTTTTGTATAAGCTTTTCATGGAATAAAAGGCTCCACACCTTAAGAAAAGTGTGGAAACTAAGACCGTATTCAAGTTCTCTTTCGAAACAGAGCTGTGTGTCCCACAGCTACCCACTTTCTCCAGCATCCTCCATCTGGAAATGCTGTATCCAAGCCCAGCCCTTACCTTTATTGTCAGCGGCAATAAATCCAAGGATGTTTTCATGGCGCAGCATGACCGTCTGGTATATCTCTGCTTCCCGGAACCAAGACCGTTCTTCACGAGAAGAGAATATTTTCACAGCCACATCACCACCCCTCCAGCGGCCACGCCATACTTCCCCAAATCGACCCTTGCCAATAATCTCCTGTAAAACGATGGTTCGGGCCACAGTGCGCTGGACAAAGAGGGGTAACCCTGTGGACCAAAGAATGGGAAGAAACCTGACATTGCAAATTTGACAAATTTTGCAACTCCCACACTCATTGACACAATGGAAAGACCCTTAATATGGTGTCTTCATCCTATACTGGTCCATTAATCAGGGAGAGCTGCTGCTGCCCCTGCACATTTCTAGGTAATCTACCAGAGGCTGAGCCAGGCGGCGAGATGGGGAGCGAGTGAACACTAAAGGGAAATGCGTATGATTAGCTACTCCTTACCTAAGCAATTTCTCCTCACAGTTAAGTATGGGCAATAGATTCAAATTTAAACGTTTGACCAGATTTACCAACTCTTCAGCCAGCCACCTGTGGGCCGATCCACCCACATCTGCTTTATTTTGGTGGAGAAAGAAAAGAGGGCAGAGAACATGAAAGTGGGGGCTGCTGTGCTGGGGGCCACCTTCTGGCCTCTCTGCTTACTAGCCACTAGAGGGCGGTGCTGTGAGACCTCCAAAGAGAGCAAGGCTCTGCTTGCAGGCGGAACTCCAGATGTAGAATGGAGGACTATGTATGCTTATTCTAAGATTAACTTTACTGTCTTTATAAAACTCAACACTGCTTCATTTGACTCATTCAATGTATCTCTATGTATCCAATCACCCTTACCATCACAACTGATTCTTAACTCTCTTACTCCCACCCCCAGTCAAATAAATAGATTATATAATTAATCCCCAGGTCTGGTAGATGGGAACTTCCATTTACTGCATGCTTACTACGTATTAGGCTCCATGCTAAGGGCTTTACATAAATCATCTCACTTCCCCAAATTACCTGCAAGGTAAGGTACTGTTATCATCCCCATTTTATAGACCAGAAAACTAAGGCTCAAAAAGGAGGTTACATAATATTCAAATTCATACAAGCAGTAAGTAGCAAAGCAGGGCTTAAAATCTAGGACTGTCTGACTCTATAATCTATGCTTTTAATGACAACAGTATAGAACCACCAAAGTGTTTCTCAAATTAGCCCCCGCCTCTCCATCCCCGTCCGCCTGTCCTACTTTTGGACCTTCTCTAAAGGATTTCCAACAGGTCTTTCGCCTCCCATCTCAGCCTGCTCTTGCCCTGCGCACCCACACACACCCCCCTCACCCCACCCTTCCCAACAGAAGGCTGGTAGTGAATGAATTCATCCTCCACACCACTGCCAGAATTCCTTCCAAAGGAAAAAAATGAACATTCATTTCCCACGTGGAAACTTTCAGTAGAAGCCCCTTACCTATAAGATAAAGGTCAGCCCTCAAGATCCTCTACACCTGGGCCAGCCTGACCTTCCCACCCCACCTCCCACCCCACCCCACCCCACCCCACCCCTTCCCCAGCACAAGCACATCATGCTGGTCTCCTTATCATAAAGGTTCTTTAAACATACAGTGGATCTTCATGCCTTTTTATCTTTTTACTCAAGGTATTTTCATTGGCCTGGAATGTTCTCTGCCCTCTCACCTCTCTTAAATATTCCAACTCGGCTGTGCTCGGTGGCTCACGCCTGTAATCCCAGCACTTTGGGAGGCCAAGGTGGGCGGATCACGAAGTCAAGAGATCGAGACCACCCTGGCCAACACGGTCAAACCCCGTCTACTAAAAATACAAAAATTAGCTGGGCGTGGTGACACGCACCTGTGGTCCCAGCTACTTGGGAGGCTGAGGCAGGAGAATTGCTTGAACCTGGGAGGCGGAGGTTGCAGTGAGCCCAGATCAAGCCACTGCACTCTAGCCTGGCACCTGACTACGGAGACTAGTGAGACTCTGTCTTTAAAAAAAAAAAAAAAAAAAAAAAAAAAAAAAAAAATCCAACTCATTCTTCGACTCCCTTTTTTCTTTTCTTTTCTTTTTTTTTTTTTTTTTTTTTTTTTTTGAGATAGAGTCTGGCTTTGTCACCCAGGCTGGAGTGCACTGCATGATTTTGGCTCACTGCAACCTCTGTCTCTCAGGTTCATTTGATTCTCCTGCCTCAGCCTCCCAAGTAGCTGGGATTACAGGCACTCGCCACCACACCCAGCTAATTTTTATATTTTTAGTAGATACGGGGTTTCATCATGTTGGTCAGGCTGGTCTGGAACTCCTGACCTCAGGTGATCTGTCCACCTCAGCCTCCCAAAGCGCTGGGATTACAGGTGTGAGCCACCATGCCCAGCTCTTTTTTTTTGAGATGGAGTTTCACTCTTGTTGCCCAGGCTGGAGTGCAATGGCTCAATCTCAGCTCACTGCAACCTCTGCCTCCAGGGTTCAAGCAATTCTCCTGCCTGAGCCTCCAGAGTAGCTGGAATTACAGGCATGTGTCACCAGTTAATTTTTTGTATTTAGTAGAGATGAGGTTTCACCATGTTAGTCAGGCCAATCTCAAACTCCTGACCTCAGGTGATCCACCCGCTTCGGCCTCCCAAAGTGCTGGGACTAGAGGCGTGCCCCACCATGCCCAGCCAAGACTCCTTTTTTAAAAAAAAAAAAAAAAAAAAGACGGTCTTGCTTTCTATTACCCAGACTGGAGTGCAGTGGTACAATCCTCACTGCAACCTCTGCCTCCCGGGGTTGGAAGTGATTCTTATGCCTCAGCCTCCTGAGTAGCTGGGACTCCTAAGTAGCTGTGAGCCACCACACCCAGCTAATTTTTGTATTTTAGTAGAGACACAGTTTGGCCACATCGGCCAGGCTGGTCTTGACCTCTTAGGCCTCAAGCGATCCACTGCCCAGTCCTCCCAAAGTGCTGGGATTACAGATGTGGCCACCCAGCCTCAGGACTCCTTTAAATGTGCCCTCCTCTGTGAGCCTCTTCCCAACAACTCCTGTCTCTCTTATCCAATCCTGGGTCAGCCTCTTTTTAATCTGTTTAAAACTGTATCACTCAGAAGGTATTCAGCATATACTTATTTAAATGAGTTGAAAGTCATATGAGCAGCATGGACTTACTACTTTGAAAACCACATCATTAGAAACCTATCGCCTTGGAAGTTCTGTGCATTCTGAATGAAGAATATACTAAACCACTCAGTGGGAAATACTTTTAACCATTTTACTCCAAAAGATTAAACTACCATGGTCCTTCCCTTGTTTCAGCTGGTCTGGGTCTTAAAAAGACTTTGGGAAAACCCACTCTACCCTCCTCTAGCAGCAAGTCAAGTTCCATAGTCTGCCAGGAGGTTCTAACCACTGTCCTACCTCTTTCAACAAGGAACAAGCCCTAGATTTTTACTGTTTCTAAAAATATGCAGCTTTTAAATATATCCATCATTTTGGTGCTCTCTACTGCAGAGCTTAATAAAAGCAAAGCCACTGAAATTCAGGAGATGTCACAGCTCAAAGTACTCCTGTGTCAAGCAGGAATGTCTGGGCATGACTGACGGCATAATTTCCCCACAGAACAATAGTCTTGTCCTACGTCAAGGAAACATACATAAAAACACGCAAAGTTCCCACAAATAAGATCCTCTGTGTTTTAGCTAGAACGCCAACAGTGATCTTTGAGGATGTTTTTTTCTTTTCTAAGAATGTACTTGAAGCCAGGAATTTGAGACCAGCCTGGGCAACAAAGTGAGACCTTCCACAAAAAATTTTTTTTAAAAAGTACCAGGCTTGGTGGCACATGCCTAAAGTCTCAGCTACTCAGGAGATTAAGGTGGAGAATCTCTTGAGCCCAGGAGGTTGAGGCTGCAGTGAGCTGTGATTGTACCACGGCACTCCAGCCTGGGCAACTGAGACAGACCATATTTAAAAAAAAAAAAAAAAAAAAAAAAAAAAAAGGAATGCAATACCACTGTCATGAAAATAATAGTTTTTCTTCATTAAAAAAATTATTTTGTGAGGCAGGCGGATCACCAGAGGTCAGGAGTTCAAGGCCAGCCTGGCCAACGTGGCGAAACCTCGTCTCTAGCAAAAATACAAAAATTAGCTGGTCATGGTGGTGCATGCCTATAATCCCAGCTACTAGGGAGGCTGAGGCAGGACCATCCCTTGAACCTGGCAGGCGGAGGTTTCAGTGAGCAGAGACTGCGCCGCTGCACTCCTGCCTGGGAAACAGAGCAAGACTCTGTTTCAAAATAAATAAATAAAAGGTAAAAAAAAAAAAAAATTATTTTGCTTTCATGTTCACATTTAATAGCTAGCTGAGCTATACCTCGACACCTGAACAACCCCAAGCCCCTTTATCCTGAATTCTCGTCTTATGCCAAGGTCCAGTGTTTGGTTCACTTCCCTCATCTGAGACAGACTTGGTCAGTAACAGGTCATACAGGAAACAGTGCTGATGCTATGCTGGAGGCCCACACTGCCTTTATTTTAACCCCCACCAAAAACCCTTGGGCAACTGGTACAAGTCAATGATTCACCAAATCCCAACTCTAAGCTTTACTGGATGTCCTTAAACTCCCCTTGTGGTTGCTCAGAGATCAATGATTAGCTGTCACCACCTCACAGGAATCTGGCACACTCCTGTTTCTCAAAAGGGGCCCTGAAATCGAGCACTCCACTGCTCAGGTGGAACCAGCTGAATTTTAATAGATGTACATACAGTTGCTAAGCTTAGAGAGGCAGGGCTTCTGCTGTGGATAATTGTGTACTAGACCTTGGGAATCCCAGGGAATGAGAAGGTTTCAGTGAACCCATTATCTTATCTTATTACACGTCAGACTCCAAAAGAAGGGGAACTAGGAAACCAAATGACTCAATGCTGGTAGAAACGAATGCAGGGCCCCCAGCCTTCTTTATAAGCACTCTATCGTGCTGGGAAACTGATTAGCCAGCCACAGACACAACACCCTGGAGAACTCAGTACCTGAGCCAGACCCTGAGGTGGAGAGATCATAGACAAGATCCTGGAGCGTCTTGTCTTTGGAGAGGCACATCTCACATGAGGGATCTTCCATGTCCAGTCTCTGGCGGTTGTGATAGACACGCTGATGATAGTTAATGACAAGGAAAACAATGATGATGATGAGGAACAGGAGGAACACCGGGCCAGCGATGATGCCTACCAGCTCCACCGGGCCCCACATGGATGGGTGCTCAGGCTCCTTGAGGTGACCTGGGTCAAGCGAGAGAGGAGAGGGAAAGAATGCGGAATAAAAACAAGAGAAAGAATAAAAACACCTCCCTCAAAGTGAAGAGCGAAAAAGACCCTTTTCCCTCTCTATGTGTTCAGGCGCCTTTGATCTCTCTGATCTTCCTGGGCTAGTCTGTCTTCCTAGATGCTCTCAAATGTCCAACTTCTTTAGCTAAGGCACCCCTTCCCACAGTCAAACCCACAACCCACTTTGTCATCTCATCTCACACCACTTCATGGTACTATCCCCACCTCAGGCCCCTACACAGATACCAGTTTCTGCTCTTTAACTCACCACAGCTCCTCCAAGCTCTGCTCTAGTTTCTCTCCTTCTCCTGTGGGCTTCGCAGTAATACCTCCTGAATGGTAGACTCGCAAAAGGGTGGTATGTGGTGTTTCTCAGCTTTGGTCACTGGCCTTTTCCTATTCTGGTTCTTCTTCACATCTGACCATCACCCTCCCGAGGAGTCCCCACTGCGCGGCTCTGGGACCAGCTCTTTCTGGATCGGTTCCACTCCTCACCGCTGCCTATGGCTGCTCGGCCACTACCCAAAACACAGCTGGCACCTCTGGGACTAACCTGAAAATCTGCTTCCTCACCCACTAATCTATAAAAGCGACTCCTGAGAAACCCCAGCCTGTGTCACCTTGGGAAACATCCATCCAAAAGGCATCTTTATCGTCAAACAAAGTGATTGGGAAAGAGTAGAGGAAGAAAAAAAAAAAAAAAAAAAAAAAAAATCAAACAACGCGGTGCCCTCCCTCCAAGCTGAGCCACTAGTCCAACAAGGGCGTGCACTCACCACTGGGCACCCTCAAGTCGATCCTGTTGCAGTAGTCAGTGTAGCAGCAGTGGGTGTTGCGCAGGTCCTCCGAGCTGAGGCAGTAGAAGGGCTTCCCGGCAGGGACCAGCTCCACTTTGGGGATGCAGGTGCGGACATGGTGCTCCATCCCATCCAGGTTGAAAATGGAAACCATGCAGGCCCCATCTGTCTCACACGTGTAGTTGGCCTGGAGGCAGTTGGTGCACGCACACAGCAGAGCTGCAGGAAATTGGGGAGCAGACCTTGACATCAATGGTGAGATCTTTTCCAGGTCCTTTTCCCAACTTAGAATATAATCCCTTAGCATACTTGATGTTCCAAAACCGAGGTTTTATGGAGATGGAGCCAAAAAGATATTTAACTGGGCACAACCTCACCTGTTTCTTTAGCTCACAAACAAGGCTTGCGAGGCTCCATCATTATCCTCTAAGTGCTCTACTTTATACCTGTGAGAGACGGAGGAACTACCTTTTCGATCTTATTCAAATTGAGATGCCTGACAAGAGGAAAGCATCTTCCTTTTGGAGAATGTGGGGCTGCCCCCACTTCATGCAGAGCCACCTAGGGTTCCTGGAGCCATCACCAGCCCTATCTCCCCCAGCAGGAACCAAGCACGCCCACGGCTTCCTGCAGCATGCATGCTCTCACACATTCTTTTGCTGCAATGCTTTTTTCCTGCCTCATCTTACAAATCCTTCAAAATTCAACTCAAATGTCACTTCTTTTGAAAAGCTTTCCCTGACCACTCCATTATCGTCCTCCTGCCTTTAGTCCAAGTCAGGTGCCTCTCTCATTCATGAGGGGCAAAAAGGATATCCTCCAAAGAAAAGAACTTGAGTGCCTCCCTCATGAAGTTACTGTGAGGACTAAGTGAGATAATGCATTAAAAGTGCTCAGTACACTTAACCCATCCTGAAAGGCCCCTGGATAGCATGTACATGCGTGCGCACAGGCACACACACACACAGACACACACACACACAATTTCTTTCAAATAGGTACTGTACACAATCACCTCTGGGATTAATGAGTTTTGCTGGGTAAGTATCATACATACGTGTGTCCCATTTGATAGAAAATTACTGCAAATGAATTTGGCGCCTCTGAAAGCCTCTTTAGCAGCCCTGGAATCTGAAATCCTTTATTTATTCAACTAACATGAATAGCACAGACAGGGGTTGGCTCTCCCCAACACCGTCTCCCATGAGACTAACCTAGCTCTGATCTCTTGGAATGGGCAGGAGTGTCGCTTTGCCCACCAGAACACTGAGGTTGGGGCTTGGAAGTGCTAAACGAAGCACTCACACATTGGGGGCTGGAGGTGGTGCAGCCCACACGAGTCCCAGATTGTACACTAAGTAAATACTATCTGGATAACAAATGGGAATGCATTCACACTATGGCCCCAGAGATGAGACACTTATGGGCAGTCCCATGAAAAGCTACCCTGTCATAACTCACGGATTTAGCTGTAAATAGTCTATCTTTGTCTCTTCCTCCAATATTCTGAAAGGCATCTCTTGGCTTTTCAAATCCAAAGACAGATTCTAAATATCTCAGTGCCCAACCCCTCCTTCCTCAGGCTTTCTATAAATGAGACGATTCCTTGCTAGTCCCACCCAAGGAAGCCAAGGAGGCAGCCCTGGCAGGTGGAGAGACAGTGTAGACAGTGCAGATCTTCACTTATGGCCTGTTGTATATTCTCACGTTGCATCAGATCCCTTTCTTCTGGGAGCAATTCCAAAACATGCAGCCTCTTGCTTAAGAGTTTGGGTAGTGTTATTTCTTAAAGGCAGAGCGTTTAAAGTAGATGACTATTCGACTAGGATCCAAATCATAAAAGAGATTTTAAAAGTAAATTTCTCCTGAATTCTAACCCATTTAGACACACACAAAAAAAGACTAAGGAATCTCTTTATTTTTCCTTACAAAAACCTTTGTTTGTGCCCTCTTATTCTTTCTGCTTTTACATTTACTTCCGAAACTCTCAGAGTATTTGATCCAAACCTCTTTTACTCATGCTGGAATCTTGTTAACTCAAGAAAGCTAACTCTCATTCCCCTTTGTGGCAGTGTTAAAAGAGGTTCCCTGTGGAGAGCATACCTCTCAATATTTGTGTTGTGATGTCCAGCAAAGAAAACAACATTGGTTCTATTTTGGGAAGCAAGAAGGGAAAATTAACAACTTCAAGAGAGGACTATTCTGAGCACAGTGAGACACACAAACCCAAACCCACAGTTCCCTTTCAGAAAAGCGCTCACTCCATAGCCCACCAATTAGAGGGACTGAATAGTCAGGAGCTTCTGCTTCCAGATATTTATGCTCCTCTCGTTAGTTCACAACCTCTTTCACAGTGATTCATTCTGGAGAATGAACACACCCACACGTGGCTCATTATTTTTGGGAAGTACTTAAACAATCTTGGTGTAAGACAGGAAAGAACAAAAGTGGTGAAATCTATGCTAGACAGGACATGGAACGGAACTGGGGGCTGGGCCATGTGGGTTTGTGATAAGGCACTGGGTGAGTCCCTGAGCCTATCTGGGCCTCAACTGCCCAACAGGAAAACACTATTTATCTTACAGAGATGGTATGAAGATTAGCCAAGCATCTGCTAAGTGCTCTGGGTCCTCTGAGAAAGGCCGCTCTACACATATCTGTGTCTAACCATATATTTTACAGAGAAGTTTGAAAAAGATGTTTTTAAGATAACCACCACGGCTCCCCATTCCCCTGAAAAGGTTACAATTACCATCGCTAGGAGCCACAGCGGGTATTACAGCAGGAACAGGTCAGAAAGGCTCAAATGTCAGCTTTAATATTAACCACATGACCTTGAGCAAGGTATTAACCTTCTTGCACCCATTTCCTAATCTGTAAAGTGGGGCTGTGAATAATTATAGTCATCTGTCACTTAACAACAGGGACATGCAGCTTAGGCAATTTTGTTGCTGTGTAAACCTCACAGCGTGTACTTACACAAACCTAGATGGCATAGTCTACATGGTGCGGCCTCTTGCTTCTAGGTTACAAACCTGTACAGTATTTAACTACTGAATACTGTAGGCAATTGTAACATCATATGTGTATCTAAACATAGAAAAGGTAAAGTAAAACTACAGCATTATAATCTTATGGGACTACCATCATACAGCAGTGTGGTCCATCATTGACCAAAATGCTGTTATGTGGCACATGACTGTATTTCACAGGGCTATGTAAGAATCACATGAAGTAATATATATCTATTTTTTAGAGACAGAGTTTTGCTATGTTGCCCAAGCTGGACTTGAACTCCTGGGATCAAGGGATCCTCCAGTCTCAGCTTCCTGAGTAGCTGGAACTACAAGCATGTGCCACCATGCCCAGCTAATAGAATTTTTAAAGTACTTAACAACTAGTAGCTATTCAATAAATATCAATTCCCCTCTCTCAATGTAAAACCTAAAAACAAAGCAAAAACTACCACCCAAGTAAAAATGTCTCCTTAACCACTAATTAGGAAGTGGCAAGTTTCAGTAAGAAACTGCTATTCAAGCCTCAACAATACCAGCAATCAGTTGCTTTGGCCAAGTCATTTAACCTCTTTCAACCTCATTTTTCTCACGATTAACCAGAAAGAAGAGACTGAACTATACGACCTCTAAAATCCTTTCCAGCTATGTTTGAATCTAGTTTTGTTTTTAAATTTACACTGTTTGATCACTGACCCAACACTGGACAATTCTGCTTTCTTTTATATGCCTTTTCCTAAACATTTCTTTTAATGATAGACATTTTGGCTAGTCTCTGTTAACATTCACTTTCCACTGAAACAAAGTGATAAATTATAAAAACATCTAAATTTACTGTAAACCTTAGTTCATTAAATCACACACACTAAATTCAATTCTCTCTGATAAGCTAAATCTGGACTAATGATAACAGCCCCTTAGAATCTGTTTCATAGTGACTCATTGGGTTAAAAATTCTACACACTGTGTATATAAACAACACATACCTAAAACTCTCCTTATTCCAAGACGGAAGAATTACGTAATAGAAATAACACAATTCAGAAAAACAAATCACAGAAGTAACAAAATCACTTCTTGCATAAACAAGTTAGGAAGTGGCCAGAACAAAACCCCTACTAGCGTAGACTTTTGTCATTAACAAGTTAGGCAAATTTAAACTAAAGACAAAACCACGTTGACTAAAGACAAAACCACGTTGGCAGGGTTTGAACATGGTTCCAAAGTATGATTCGAAGGTGGTTTGTGGTAGGATGTAAATGCAAATTTGATTCATGAGACAGGCTGTGTTTTGAGTAAGGCTGACAAGTTCCAACCTGGGCAGACTGTCTAGCTCCGTATTATAGAGGCGCCTAACACAGCTGGGTCTCAGAAAAGACAGGCCACTCAGTGACGCCATAGCCCAGCTAAGAATTCTCAAAAACGGCCATACAGGGTCAGACTCACGGCCACTTAGCCCAATATCCCCCCTCAGAACCTTACCAGGGAGAGTGCAGTGTGACTGCATCCCCCGTGAAAGGGAAGATGCACCGCACACAACATCCAAGTTTGTCTGAACAGAAGAAGGTCCAGGAGTGCACCTAAAATTTTTTTGAAGCTATAGTAATTATGAACTTTAACTTAGTTACTACCTGTGGATAATAAATTTCATAAATTTAGTACTGTTTGTGGAGCACTGTCCTGTTTAGGTATGCCAGACCTGACTCTTTCAAATTTCAATGGGCAACCTTCTAGTTCTGCCCTTACTCTTCGTGATTTTATGACCTGATCATAAATTGCTTCTCAGGACTCCTTCCAGATGAGAAATTCACCAGACAGGCCAAAGTAATAAGAACAGCCTAATATAACCATGATGATTTTAATTATTCCTCCCCAGCCCTTATCCCAACCCCCTGCAGTTTCTCTGGGCCAGATCAAAGAGCACAACTCTACACAACTGATTGCAGGATCAGAGACACCAGTTTTACATTTCGGTAGGATGTTTTCAGCTTGTTTCCCATAACAAAACACTGTTTATAGCTATGCTCTGTTATTGTATCAAGAGTTTTCACATTCATTCTCTCCTGTGATTCCCAGAGGAACTCAGGAGCTGAGGCAGGTATAGCTGTCCCACTTGATGGACAGTAAAGCCTCGGAGAAGTTAAGGGGCTCACAAGTGGTAAACCAGTAAAACCATGGAGCACCATCTCCAACTCAGGTCTCTAG